TGCTGCTGGGGGGTTCTGGGGTGGCCACCTTTCCCGCTGCCCAGGCTCCGTGGTCACCGTGGGCACCTGAGGCCAAGGCTGGGCAGGGCCGTCATGTCCCCTGCCGAGGCCAGACCGGCATAGCTGCTCAGGGAGCCCACACCTGGGCGAGTGGACAGTCCACTCTGGAGTGTCTTCCGACCAGGGGCCTCCAGCCCTGGGGACAGAGATGGGAGGTGCCCGTCCCAGCCCGGTGACTCGGACAGCCGTGAGCCTGGGCAGCTGCTCCGCCTTCTTGAGCAAAGGTGGGGGAGGGGGGCAGCGGGAGTGACCACAGGAGCCTGGCAGGCAGGCTGGGTGGGCGCTGGCTCTGGGAGGCAGCAGGTGAGGAGGGCGGGCTGGAGGTACCATGTCCCTGCCCAGAGCCGCGTGAAGGGCCCGCCGGCCGCTGTGCCAGGTCTCGGTGGAGGCCAAGAGGGCCCACAGGCAGGCCGGGGCATGTGGGCAGCCCCCGCAGCTGAGGGGCCCGGGCCTGGGGTCGCCCAGGGCTCTGCCTGGAGCGGTGATGGGAGATGCACACTGGGGCCGCGACCCAGCGTCCAGCCACCTGCCTGTCCGAGGGGCGGGGCGGAGCAGGCCTGGGGGGCCGCAGGCCAGCCCGAGCGAGGATGGCCCACAGGACCCCACCAGGCCGGCCGCCCCCTCACTCCTGCCGGCCCTGGAGGCTGAGGCCCGGTGGTGGAGCCCCGGGCGGCCCCTCCTTGGCCCTGACCAGCTCCCCATGCCCCAAGCGTAGGCGCCGGCTGGAGCCCGCCCGCCAGGGCGCCCACCCCAAGCAGGTCACTTCCGCTTAGATTCACTTACTTGGGCCCAAGAGCCGGGTCACAGGCCAGAGAGCGGGGGGGCAGAACAGGCAGATCCCCTGAAACCCACGGCTGAGGGGCAGCGGGGGGACGGGGGCCTGTGCGCCCCCCCCGCCGGGGATCGAAATTGTGCTGCGGCCAGCTCAGTACCGGCCTAGCCCCTGCGCCCGGGAGGCCCTCAGGTCACCAGGATGCCCCGGGGGTCCACGGCAGGTGCGTGGGGGGGAGCCGGGTGACGGGCTCTCCGGGCACAGCGGGTTCTCTGCCCCCAGGTGCCCCCCCCTCCCGCTACCGTCACTCAGCAGCTCCCACAGCAGCCGCTGATCGTGCAGCTGCCCCCACCCCAGGCTGTGCCCCCTCAGAGGTCGGGGGGTGTCAAGGAAGGTACGTGACCCCGGAGCGCCGGTCCAGGCTGGCGGCAGCCGTGGCGTCCGGGCCTGTGCCGCCGGCGCTCAGGCGGCCTGCGGGCACCGCTGCTCACTACACAGACCTGGGCGCAGGCCGGGCGCTCCAGGTCTTGTCCCCACAGGCCAGGGAGCCCACGGCTCACCTGGGGCCCGAGACCAAGGGCCGCTAATGCCCGCCTGCCCGCCCCGGAAAGCCAGGCCATGAGCTGGCTTCTTCCTCAGCTGGGGGGGCTGTGGCACAGACCAGGGTGGCAAGGACGCCCCCATGGCAGGGCCTGGCACTGCCCCGCACTCCAGCCTCCTCGTGTCCAGCTCCCCAACACCGACCACCAC